CTATTAAAAAAAATAATATTATTTTACTTTTTCCAATTAAAGATAATGTTTAACATGATCATTTTTTGAAAGATTTTGAGTTCCAAATTTTTCTCTCTTTCCTCCTCCCTCCTCAAGACAGTAAGCAACTGGATATAGGTTATACATGTGCAATAATGTAAAACATATTTCCACATTTATCATGTTGTGAAAGAAGAAACAAAACAAAAAGAAAATAACACAACTCCTCCCCCCCCAAAAAAGTGAAAATAGTATGCTTTGATCTGCATTCAGACTTTGTCAGTTCTTTCTCTGGATATGGATATCATTTTTCATCATAAGTCTTTTGAAATTGTCTTGGATTTTATTGCTGAGAAAAGCTAAGTCAATCATAGTTGAACATAGTATCAATGTTACTGTTATTGTGGTGCAACCATTTCTTTTTTCCTTTATTAATTTATTTTTAGTTTTCAACAATCACTTCCACATACTTTTGAGTTTTAAATTTTTCTCTCTCTCCTTCCCTACCTCCCTTCTCAAGACGGCATACAATCTGATATAGGCTATACATATACATTCTTATTAAACATATTTTCACATTAGTCATGTTGTAAGGAAGAATTAGAACCAATAGAAGGAACCACAAGAAAGAGGAAACCAAACAAAACAAGAAAAAAATAGCAAATAGTATGCTTCGATCTGCATTCAAACTCCATAGTTCTCTGGATGTGGATAGCATTTTCCATCATGAGTTTTGGAGATGTCTTAGATCCTTGCATTGCTGAGAAGGGCCAAGTCTATCAAAGTTAGTCATCGCACAACATGGCTGTTACTGTGTACAATGTTCTCCTGGTTCTGCTCACTTCACTCAGCATCAGTTCATACAAGTCTTTCTAGGTTTTTCTGAAGTCTGCCTGCTCATCATTTCTTATAACACAATAGTATTCCATTACATTGTTATACCACAACTTGTTCAGCCATTCCTCAATTGATGGGCATCCCCTCAATTTCCAATTCTTGGACACCACAATAAGAACTGCTGTAACTGTTTTTTGTACATGTGGGTCCTTTTCTTTTTTATGATTTCTTTGGGATACAGCCCTAGAAATGCTATTGCTGGGTCAAAGGCTATACACATTTTTATAGCCCTTTGGGCATAGTTCCAAATTGCTCTCCAAAATGATTGGATCATTTCACAAGTCCACCAACAATGCATTAGTGTTCCAATTTTCCCACATCTCCAGCGTTTATTATTTTCCTGTTTTATCATGTTAGCCAATCTGGTATGTGTGATGTGGTACCTCAAGATTATTTTGATTTGCATTTCTCTAATCAATAGTGATTTAGAGCATTTTTTCATATAACAATAGATGGCTTTAATTTCTTCATCTGAAAAATGCCTGTTCATATCCTTTGACTACTTATCAATTGGGAAATGACTTATATTTTTTATAAATTTGACTCAGTTCTCTATATATTTTAGAAATGAAGAACTTACCAGAGATAATGATTGTAAAAATTCTTTCTCAGTTTTCTGCTTCCCTCCTAATCTTGGTTGCATTGGCTTTGTTTGTACAAAAACTTTTCAATTTGATATAATCAAAATTATCCATTTTGCATTTCATAATGTTTTCTATCTCCTGTTTGGTTACAAATTCTTCTGTTCTCCACAAATCTGACAGGTGAACTTTATTCCTTGCTCTCCCAGTTTACTTATGGTATCAGCCTTTATATCTAAATCATGAACCAATTTCGACTTTATTTTGGTATATGGTATAAGATTTTGGTCTATGCCTAGTTTCTGTCATGCTCTTTTCCAGTTTTCCCAGCATTTTTTGTCAAACAGTGAGTTCTTATTCCAGAAGCTGGGGTCTTTGGGTTGAACCATTTCTTTAAAAAAAATTTGAATTATGCAAATAAAGTGATTAAACTGTCCATACCCTTTGACCCAGAGATTGTATTACTTGTATACTCCAAGGAAGCCATTGATAAGAAAGTCCCCATACACAAAAATATTTATAACAGTACTTTTTGTGATAGCAAAGAATTGGAATCAAAGTAGATGCCTATTGATTTGGGAATGACTAAACAAATTGTGGTACATTAATGTAACGGAGTATTAGTATGTTGTAAGAAATGATGAATGTGATAAATATAGAGAAACATGAAAAGAAATATATGAACTGATGCAAAGCAGAGCCAAGAATATGATATAGTTACACAACAATGTAAAAACAGAAAGAACTGCACAACAAAATCTAACGTATAGCAAAAATACTTTATTCCTTTCTCCCCAACATTTTCTAACTACAGTTGTCATACCCACCCCTATCCCCCAACACTCCCATAACCAAAACTGGAACCATGATCAAATCACTTCTGACATTGCTCTTCAGAGGACTGTATAAATCCACTCCCCCATGGCCTCATTCTCCATCTCTAACTTTCTGGACTAAAATGCCCCATACTAGTCACCATTACCTTATGTATAGTGTTTCTCCTATTAGAATGTAAGCTTTTGGAGGACAGGGCCCGTCTTTGCTTTTATATTTACAGCTCCAGCACTTAGCAGTATTTGACACACAGTAAGCACTTAATACTTTTTCATTTTGCTATCCACATCCAAAGAAAGAACCAAGGAGTTTGAATGCAGATTGAAGAATACTATTTGCTATTTTCTTTTACTTCTGTTCAGTTGTTTCCTCTTTCTGGTGGTTCCTCCTATTGGATCTAATTCTTATTTACAACATCACTAATGTGAAAATATGTTTAATAGGAATGTATATGTATAGCCTATAACAGATTGTGTGCCATCTTGGTGAGGGTAGTGGGGAGGAAGCAGGAGAAAAATTTTAAACTCAAAAGCATATGGAAGTGATTGTTGATAAATCAAAATAAATAAGAAAACAAAAAACATTTAAAAATACTTTTTCATTTTTCACAAAATCAAGGCAACTAGGATTAGAAAGAGTTAATCAGGAAAAAATCTTTAAAGCATGTTTTTGTAATACAACTCTGATGTTCAAGCTATATAAGTAAATTGATATAAGAGTAAAAGAACATTTTCCCAATAAATGGTGAAAGGACAAGTTTTCAACAGAAAAAAAGACTATCAACAACCATATGAAAAATGCTCCAAATCACTAATTGACATTGAAATGCACGTAAAAACTCTGATGTTAAGGAGGATAATACCAGAATAGGAGTAGTTACAAGTAAACCAAACTTCCCAATCATAAAGTGGGGGATTTAAAGGGGAAAAAAAGAACTAGACTCTAAGGTGGTGCTTTAGATTGTCTCAGACAATTGAGGAATTGGAGGAACAATTTTGGTATATGAATGTAAAGGGGTTTTTCTACACTGTAAGAAATGACAAAATTATTTCAGAAAATTCAGGGTAGCATGAACTGACACAAAAAGTGGAAGCAGAATCAGAGCAGTTTACATGACGACATCAACATTATAAAGAAAAATATCCTAGAAAAACTTAAATCTAATCAATGCAATGACCAACTACATAGTCAGAGGACCTATAAGTACACATTAGCCATTTCCTGACAGAAAAATAATGGACACAAAGTCCAGAGGCACACATTTTTGTACATAGGCTTTTGGTAGATTCCTTTTGCTAGATTTTACTTATTTAAAATTGGGGTGGGAGGGTGGGAGTGGGACAGTTAACAATCGGTATGTCAAAAAAGAAAGGCTGTTGAAACACTTTTGAAAAAAAAATCAAAGGAGGTTAGAAGAGCACAGACAAGCAGGACCATTTTGAAAGCAAACATATTTTAATACGCATGGATGAAAACAGAAGACAGTTAAGGGGGAAACAATGACAAACAAGGAGACAGTTTTGAAAACACACGTAAAATTTATTATAAACTTTTTTAAAAAGCAAGCAGTATGAAATGGAGATTCATGGTTTCTTAAAGAATGTGTGTGTGTGTTTGGCTGCTATGTATAGAAATGTTATTTTTTGGTATTTAAGATCAGAATTAAGAAAATGTTTAAATGAAGTTAGCACCACCACACCTCTTCAATCTACAATGTTAATTTTTTTCCCCTGAAAACCACTAAGTGATCTTAGAGGTCATCTAGTCAATTTCCCTCATTTTACAGATAAAAAAGTTAAGAGCCAGAGTGGTTGTGATTTCTCCAAAGTCATGCAGGTAATAAGAACCAAGATTTAAACACAGATTTTCAGACCCTCTTTCCATTGTACACCTGGTACAACGTTAGGGCCTCCCCAGATCAAAAACAAATATTTTTTTGGAATATCAAAAAAAAATAGGTCATCATCTCTTTCCCAAGTAATTAGGAAACTAGCTGAAATGAATAGGACAATAACGTGGAATCTGAAAACAGGAAGACAAGTATTCTTTTTTTTTTTTTTTTGCTTTTGGTGAGGCAATTGGGATTAAGTGACTTGCCCAGGGTCACACAGCTCAGGTCCTCCTGACTCCAAGGCCAGACCTCTATCCACTGCACCACTTAGCTGCCCCAAAGATAAATATTCTTACAAGCTACACTCTAAGAAGACAGGGATAACATTGTGTACACACCCCACTATTCATGTATTTTGCAGGGCAACTAACATACTAGAAGTGTTCAATAAATATTAAGCAATGTCAGAGCTATCCAACTTAAATAGGACATATATGCTCTGCATTAGGCCACATACTGTTCACCTTTAACTAGTTTGTGGTTGCAACTGTGATCCAGGAAGGAATAAAATGAGAGCTGGGTGAATCTTCATAGAAAGGAAACAGACTATTTCCACTAAAATCCAATCCATTCTGCAAGTGACAGGATATGCCTAAGCAATTTATAAGTGCAAGTGACGTGAGGGAGTGACATTCAGTTCCCAAAGCAAACTTTGATAGGTAAAACAAATCATTCCCTACAGAAATACTGACAGTATAGCCTTCAATCCCACCTGCCTGCAGGAGAAAAGCCAGACAAGAAGCCACTGAACAGCTTCCTTTGACTTCACAATTTTAACCAAAAAAACCAGCTGAACATTTGCTGTTCTCTTCTTTATTTAAATAATTTACTCACCAAAAAAAAAATACAGAAAAACATTTAATTCTCCTTAATATATTCTTTCATTAGCAATCCTTGTCTTCATTAATATGTCAACAAAAAGCTCTCCTCAAACCTCAAAGATTTTTTTAAGATGTAAAATAAAGACTAAGGTGCTAAACCAATAATAATAATGAATCCTTAAGGATCAATAGTCACAACCTTTTCACAGGTGAGATCACCTACCAAGGGCCTCTAGTATATTTATCATTACTGTATAATTTAAAATATGTATGTAAATAATTTTCTTTTATATGGGGAAAGCAATTCCTTCTTCAATGTTATAACTTAAATTGTATGATAGACTTTTCTATAAAATCTGATTGAAAAGCATTTCTTGGAATCACATATCAATACAAATATAAGACTGACATTAGAAGGAAGGGAAAAAGAATACTGCAGAATTTTGAAAAATTAGGAGATGTTTGCTCAGCAACATTTTTAAACTATCCCTAACCCTGAGTCCATTTATTCATCTAGTAGAGGGGTTTTCTTAAACTTCTTTTTTTGTGTCTGGACTCCTTTGGCAGTCTGGTGAAGTTTATGGATCCTTTCTCAGAATGTTTTTAAATGCATAAAATAAAATACACAGAATTAAAAGGAAACTCATTACATTGAAACAGTTATCAGAATAAAAAAAAAGCTCAAGTACAGATAATCTCTAGTTTAATAACCCTTGATCTAGAAAAAGCCCGTATGTGGTTCTTTAAGTCACAGCAGACCAACACCAGGTATTAAGGTCTGGAGAAAACAGTTAACAGACTGTTTGGCAATCCTGAATCTTTCAAGATTAAGTCCAGGACTGCTTTTATTACAAGGCTTTTCTATCTATATTACTCTAAGGAACACCACCAATGATGAAAACAAATGACAAGGCTTGTTCTTTCTCAGGTAATTTTGTTACCTAAACGTTCTACCCATCCGTTAGCAACTGATTTGTATTCTAAAAATTAAGAAAGTAAGATATCTATCCTTTATTAGTACCCAGAGAAAGAAAATGTGTTAAGAAGCTTCAAAGCTAAGGTTGAAAATTTCCCATAATTTTGGGTATGGGAAGGAAGACACCCAAAATGTCAAGAAAATTTTTAACATACACATAATATATTAAATTTGAAATGTTAAAATGAAGTCACTTGGTGCTCACAAAAATATTATGGGTAGATCAAATCACTGCATCTCTGCATCTCTGAATGAGACTATGATGAGACTGATTCTATAAAGCTACACAGTGAAAAGCTTTTTCAATACTTTATTAACCTTACCCCATATTTTACTGAAATTTAAATAGCAGTACTCTCCATCTCTCATCCAAAGATCCATTGTGCAAATCTTTAAGGTTGCCATCCCCATTTATAGATATGAAAACTGAGTACAAAATTTAAAGTGAGTTACTGAGCACAAAGCATATCAGTGGCAGTCAGGGAGAACTCAAGTTTCTAATCAATTCAGTTAAACACCTTCACTTTAATTCCCTTCTTGACAACACTACTAGCAATCTATAGATGATGAATACCATAGTATTTTGGTTGAATTATATTCCCGCGAATTACAATGCTCAGGAGCTACTTAGCATTTTTATTCTACAGCTGTGAAGAACCATTGGAAACAAAGGGACAAGGGAGGAGAGTGGGACATTAAGTGGTCTGAGGCAATATATTGGAGGAATTTTTCATCTTAACCATAGACAACTTTAAGACCTAGGTAAATAAAACATGGTTCAGTATATCTTATTTCATGCTACTTCTGAAGCTGTACTTAACAATTATTAATATCCTTTATGTTTGATAACTGTATTTAACCTAAGCCAATAAGATGTAATAGAGACTTTTACAACCTTATTAATATGGCAGAAAAAGGAAAATTCAATACTTTTAAATCAATTTTCCCGATTCTAGTGTTTAGTAGTGCCTTAAACATAGTACATACTTTAAAATATTTGCTGAATTTTAAATCCTAATCAAATGCAGGCTTTTTCCCCTTCTCCCTTTCAGCCTGTAGCTGACAACTTCATAATAAAAATTCTCAATCTGAACATTAAATATTCTATTTAAAAATAAATACAGGGAGATAGTCAAGATTTCCACTTGAGCACTTCCCTCAATATTTAAATTTCTCTCTCAAAGATCTATAGCTATCTCTAGCATTTTAATTGAAGAAAATAAGGAATAATTTTGAATAATTTATTTTTCTCATTGACCATGGCAATCCAGGATTAGAGTGCAAATGTTACCAGCACATAATGGACATTTTGTATAACATCTTCCCAGGAGAACTATAGGCAAGATTCTAACATGGTTGTTACATTTTTGTTCATTGTATCACTTAGCTTAATGTTTTTTAAAGCCTCCTTACAATCTATAACTTTGTAATAATCTTCCTTTGCTTTGATTTTTAAAACTCAGCCTCTACTATATAAACTGTAATTTGAAAAAGGGATTAGTGAGCAATATGTTTAATAGAAGTTAAAGTATAAACCTTTTGAAAGCTGAGATTTCCATTTGAGCCTGCCCTAAAACTTTAAATTTAATTCTCACAGATATATGGTCATGTGTTATAGCTATTTTTCAATAATGTATAATAATACAACATACTCCATGTACAGCAGGAATCTTTAAAAGATACATGTTCAATAGCTAAGAATAGAAGAGGAACAATACTAATATTTTATAACACAATTATAAAAACAGAATTTATTCAACAAAAATGGTTCAAAAAATGTCTCATTATTTCAACCTTTAAATATCCTATGTCTGTAAACTTGACCAACTTTGGCTGAGAGTCTTTTTTTTCCACAATGATTGCTGCCATCCATTATACTGTTTAAGTTGACAGTAGCTCCTTCATTCAAACTTCTGCGACCTTGAATTCTTCCCATTTTGCCAAGTTTTTTAAATAAAAATGCTTTAAATGTGAGATCAAATGCTTCTGTACTCTGAGCCTCGAGCTACAAAATCAGCAGCTTCCCATTCCACGGTGAAGAAGGAAAGAGTTCCAAAAAAGCCAAATATCACCATGACCAGAAGTTGCCAATGAAGCAGAAGGTAGTTGCTGTAGAAAAATGCCACTGCTGCACAGACAGACTGAAAGATCACAGAAAAAATTACAGATGATAATAATGTATTCCTACAATTTCAATAAATGACCCGTTTTCTTTCCCATGTAAATGATATCCATTCTGATAGTCTGACAGATGTTGAAGGGTTAGTTATTTCCCCAACATGACATGTTCTTGCTTACCTCTGCTAATATCCATATAAACTCTGATCCTCCCTGTTAAAACTGCATTTTGTACATAAAAAGAAGACTAAAACACAGTACATATGACAAATATCATTCTCTAGAAGAATGGACTATGGTAACAAAGAGAAAGCTCTCCTTATAAGCCCTAGAAGACAAGCATGCAAATATCTCTTCAGAGGAAAGATTTTATGCACACATACATATGTTTATGTAAAATATATGTGTGTGTATAAACACCCACACCCTCCCACAGAAATGAAAGCATGAAAGCTACACTAGTTACCTCCTACTTTTAATCATTCTTTGAAAAGATACCCTTGACATAAAAAAAATACCCATTTTAATAAAAACCAATCCACTGATATAAAGTAACAAATTCCAAATACATAGCAAAAAGGCAGCCATTTTAAATACATTTTAAGGAGCATGACATTACCTGAACAAACTTAAAGATCGCAAAAGCAGGTGCACTATCTTCTGAATAAAGGAAACCCAAAATACTAATTAATTGGGTGTTAAAGCAGCTATCTCCAAGACCCAATAGAAAGCTGCAAAATAGGGCAATCTCTTTGCTGAATGAAAAAAATTAAAGAAGAATTTTATGTAAGTATTATGAGTATTTACTAGAGGCCTTTAAGAGAAAATAAAAGCATTACAATATAAAGACTACACACAAACTAAGTGGAAAACTTAAAATACCTAAAAAGCTAAAACAGAAAAATAATGGAATTGGAAAAATATTAAATTCTGTATTAACTTGTTTGCAAACTCTGGGAAACTTTACTACTGAAAGGGTTTAGGAATCATGATGCCTATTTTTTTGGTGGAGTGGGGGGAAAAGAGGGGAAGGTACATCCAAATCAGCAATGGACCTTTAGAAGATTTTCTGAAGCACTGAAGTTAAGTGACTTGCCAGTAGTCATGCAGAGAACATGTGTCAGAAGCAGCACTTTAATCCTCCTGTCTTCGAGAACAGTCTTCTATCTACTGTGCTATGCTTTTTTCTCCTCATGACCCATTCCAGAATAATTCTGTTTTTCAGGGAAAGCCTCCATATCTTTTGTCAGCATGCATTTTAAGGTTGATATTACCATATGGTCTGTACACCAGAATGTTAAAAAGATTTTCCACTGAAAGGAACTTTCAATAATTCCAATGTCTATTCAGAGGGACAGCTATGGTACAAGTGACAGAAGACTGAATTTGATACCATAAGACTTGGGTTAAAATCCCAACTAACATTTATTAGCTTAGTGATACTGATCAAGTCACTCAACATCTTAGCCACAGTTATCTCATCTGTATAAAAAGGTGGATTATAAGGTCTGCAGTATCTTGAAGGATTGTTCTAAAGATCAAATGAGGTAACTACCTATGTGAAGTGTTTGATGACTGGTAAAGCACAACATAGATGTCAACTCCTTTAGCGTCTGTCTTTTGGCTAAGCTAAAAGACTTGGTAGAAGAGGAGGCCAAAGTCAACAAATTAGAGAAATATTTTTGGGATTATCTGTAGATTTCAATTTTCTTCCAACAGATATTTAACTTTATGTAGACAGAACAAATTTTCAACGTAACTTGCTTAGTTATATGTTTCACCTTATACTCCCCCCAAGTTAGTTACTGAGAAAAAGAATCACAGTCCAGATAGTTACTATACCTTGAACTGATATAAGCATTGCTATCAGTTCCTTCAAGAGGAGCAACTGGGGCATCACTTGGAATGTTAAGAAAAATTAAATAAAAAGCTACAAAATGCACAAAAATGCCCAACAGCACAACTGGGTTCCTGCCAAAACGACTGTTCTTGCTTAATAAGCCAAAGAGACTTCCACCTACAAAGTCAAGAAACATTTATTATTGTTTATTGAAAGTCAAGAAATTCAATACTTCATCACATGGACAATTATAATAATGGTCAAAAAGCTAACAGTGTTTTGGAGAGGAAAAGGCACTAAATTCACTTGACCATAATCTAAATGCAATACAGCATTTATAGAGAGACTCTTACCAATGGGGGAAAACATCAGAGGTCATTGGGTCATCATATTTTAAAGCTGGATATGATCCCAGAGACAGTACTTGGGGCTGGAAAGTACCTTAGTGATAATATAGTTGCGGTTCAATCCTTTTACTTTTTTTCGGTTAGGCAATGGGGTTAAGTGACTTGCCCAGGGTCACACAGCTAGTAAGTGTTATGTGTCTGAGGCCAGATTTGAACTCAGGTCCTCCTGAATCCAGGGCTGGTGCTCTATCCACTGCACCATCTAGCTGCCCCTAATCCTTTTATTTTTATAGATGAAGAAATGCAGTCTAATGTTTTGCCTACAGCAAGTAAGTGACAGAACTGGGACTAGAAATAATTCAGTTTTTGTGTTTCAGAATCAAGGAGTTTCAGAGACCACCTAGACCAACCTCTTTGTGAATAAGAATCCTTGCTACATTCCTGACAAGTGGACTTCTAGTCCAGTGCTCTTTCTCTTAAATAAGGCCTCAGGGAGAAGTTTGGGGTTACTAAAAGAACTCCGCCATTTCCCAAAACTCACTCTTCAGTTCTTGGCTCCATTCATCTGTTTTTGGCATTGTATATATATACAAACAAACACACTTATAGATAACCTCTATAGATTATCTGTTCAATTGCACACCATAATCTGGGTAACAAACATCCTTCAAAAAGTACCTGGTTTTTCCTGTTTGGATAATTTGACCAGCCTCTCAAAGGTGACTGTGAACCTCATTTCTGAGTTTGTGTTTGTACAATGTTATGACATGTCATGACACAGCATGATATATGTGTGTGTATATATGACATATGTCATGATACATGACATCACGCTAATGGCAAACAGGAAAAGTGATGGACCTCAACATTTTTAGAGAATCCCTCAACTTGCACTCTGTGCTGGTCATCTATAACAGTGATGAAAACTTTTAGTTAGCATACATCTCTCTCTGTCTTATTCTTGGCTTGTTATTATTGATTGGAGAGTCAGCAAACACCCTTTATTATACCTTTTAAGGAATCCAATATAAATTTGACAGAAGCAAAAGAAAACACCAAATTGGAGAGTCCTTAAGGAGGAATTTTGCTCTACTTAACTGACTTTTCATAGTCAACACATAAGGACAACATAATCTTATATTCTCTACATCTTTCAGCAAATTATGTACTGGTAAAGACGCTGTGTACTGTGGAAAATGGTTTGTGAAAGCCTATTCTCTTCTAATATCCTCAATATTTAGATTAAAATCACAAAAAAAATTTATATAGGGAGGAAAAAGGCATATAGATCGATAATTATTGATGTTCATTAATCATTTACTTTTAAATAATAAAAAGATCTCAGATTTCTTCTCTAGATGTGTTGAGAATCTATTGTTCAATGCCTTCAAAAACAGGTCACTTTCAGCACAAATCTTTTTTGCATATACTCAGTATAGTTCAATTATTGTTCTCATCTGTGTTTTTTTTAGTATCATTTCCACTTCCTTTATAAAAGCAACTCCATAGTTATGATGAGTTTAAATAATATGAAGAGTTTACATAAGTGACTTTACAATCCCTGATAGTAAAAAGTGTGAGTCATAAAAACATCTGCATATCTTTTCCATCTTTTGTCTATTGTCAGCCTGTAGCTCTTTCCGTCAATGCCTTCAGGATGATTTTGAGGACTAAGGGGTTTAGGTTATTAGGCTCTTTTTGTTTCATTGCACCATCTGATTTAAATTAGTTGAACTTCTGAACATTTCAATCTTTGATATCCTTTCCTCCACCCACTTTTTTTATGTAATAACTTGTTTAAATATATCATGTTTTTGTCTCTTTAATCTTTGTTCTTGTTGTTTAGTCATTTCAGTTGTGTCAGACTCTTCATGTTCCCTTATGGGGTTTTCTTGGCAGAGATACTGGTTTGCCATTTCCTTCCCTCAGGTGAGGAACTGAGGCAACCAGGGTTAAGTGATTTGCCCAAGGTCACACAGCTAGTAAGTGTCTGAGGACATATTTGAACTCAGGTCTTCCTGACTCCAGGCCTGGCACTCCATTCATTGTAGTTGCTCCAATGTTTCTTCTAGCTTATATTTAGATTTCTGTTCTACCAAGCTGGTGATCTAACTGTAAACAAAAAGCTGATTCAAGAATGATAACAATATCAACATAAATTATTTTGTTAAAATATAACCAATTTTATTTTTGGTGGTGCTATTCTGTGCTCAAATTTATCTTCCTATAGTGCAGTTCTAACCGTATGACCCTACTTCTTCCTACCTTTTCATTCCTGAAATTCCTGCTCCAAAGCCTTGCTGCCTTTCACTGGTGGTTGTTTCAGTCACCCACTTCATCTAGGCCCAGGCTTCAACCACTCTCCACTTCCTGCACTAGCAAGAATGCTGCCTGTCCAGATAGCAAACCTGGAAAAACTCAATCCTTTCATGCCAGACATGCCCTCCAGGGCTCTATCTTTACTACATCTATGCCTGAACTTCACTTATTCCCTGGACTTATCGTCACCAGCTACTATAAGTCCTTACCCATATCTTTTCCCCTCCAATTCCCAGTTATAGAATCATAATCAAATAAATTCTGTCACTACTCCCTGGAAAGTGTGTCTATCTAACCCTCCTATGCCTCTACTCACTATCCCAGTAATTTTTTTCACATCAAAATATCCCTCCCTAGCCACCACTTCCTTATAAGTGTTAAGAGTAAAGACAGTCTTCACTTTCATATTTATATTCCCAGATCTTATCATAGTGCATATGATGCTTTTCATTTATTCAAGTTCAAAAATTTTGAAGAACACATGAAATTTCTACTATCAAAAACAACTGACCTGGAGAACTAGAAAAGATGGCCAAACCTGGATATTCAATATTAAGAAATCATAAAACTACCCAGAACTGTTTAAAGAAGACAGAAAGGAAAAGTTCAAGTACCAAAGAGGCATAGTCAGACACATACAAGATATGCAGCAATTACTTTAATAGAAAGGTAAGACTGGTAATACAGTACATCAAAAGGCAAAAAAAAAAATTCTTACAATAAAGAATAGGTTACCCTGCAGAACTGAGAATACTGAAGAAAAAAGGTGGACCTTTAAGAGAATAAAGGATTTTTAAGCATTTCTGTTCAGAAAACCAAAGCTGAATAAAATATTTAAAATGGGAACACAGGAGACAAAGAAAAACCTAGAGAGAAAAATGCATTTGAACAATGTGAAGAGGTTAAATAATAAGCAAGTGCTAATACCTTAAAAGAAGGAAAAGAGACTAGTATCCCTTAAGTATCTTACTATCTTCAGGGTAGCTGGCTAGGCTTTTCAAAAAATTGTGGTTTTCAGAGAGTCTAATGATTTTTAAATTATTTCTCCTTGAACTATTTTTCAGGTAAGTTGTTTTTGACATTCAATAACTTACATTTACTTCTAATCCTCTGATTTTGTTCTAAAATCTCTTGCTATCTCATGGAGTCACTGATTGCTAAATTTCAGTGTCCAGTTACTTGGATAAGGATTACTACTTTCTTTTCTCAACTATATATTCTCCTTCCTCAGATTCTTTCCTCTAGAATTTTTTTTTAATCTATTGCTTTTTTTCTAAGAATTCATGTTGTCCTTTTAGAAAACAAAACAAAACCAAAACACTTTTACCTTTGAGTTTCTGCTTGCAGTTGTGAAACTATCACCTTCTAGGTTAGGTTTTAGACCTCTCTGGATCTATTATTAACTCTTTGTAATGGGTAGTATCTTCTCCAGTTTATTCATTTCTTCAGCCTTAGTTTCGAAACTGGGGCTCTGTGCCAGGACCAGGCTCCAATGACTACTATGCTTTTGGGGAGGGTGGACGGCCCTGGTTGGTCTTGAGCTAGGTTACTCAGATGCCTACCTTGACCTTCAACCTGCCATGATTAAAGCCCCCTAAATCTTTGAGGTCCAGAATGCTAGGGATATTGGAACCCCAGTGTAACCTATTCTGAGAATGCTTACATTAGTTTTTGCCACTTCTGCTAGCCCCCAAGTTCCACACCATGGGTTTCTAATCACCTTGGGCCCTTCTCCTAGTAGCCTTCTACTCTTGCTGCTGCTGGACATAAGGTCCTGCAGGCTATGTATGTCTGTTCTAGGAAGTTGCTGCCTTGTTTGACTGAGCTGGCATTACTTTTTAGCAGCCTCTTTTCCTATTGCCCTAGAGCTCCTGGCTAACTTTTTGTGCAGTTCTGTAGAAGTAGTCATTATGTTTTCTTGTTAGATTTCTTTATCATCATTTAGTATGGCATGAATTTCATGTTTTTGCTGGTGTGGTGGAACTGGTCTGCCTGACACCTTTTGAATAGCCACTGTGGCCAGAAGTATCCTTGTTTATATTAAAAACATATAAAAAAGCATAGGAATATACAGACCTTTCCTTGACAAGGTTTTATATCTAATATCTTCAATATCTAAACCAAAGTGTTAGCATTCTCTGTAATGAAGAATTGCTAGAGGCCATTCCAATATGATCAGGACAAAGCAAGGATGTTCAATGTCACCACTATTATTTCATATGGCTCTAGAAATGCTAGTTCTAAATAAGCATAGGTAAATACGTAACAAAATTCTCACTATTCGTAAATGATACAATAGTTCAGAGAACTCTAATCATTCAATTAAAATGTTAGTTGAAATCATTTATAATTTTAATAATGTAGGAGGATATAAGATGAACTCACAAAAATCACCAACCTTTCTGTAGGTTACTAATAAAATCTAGCCAGAAGATATAGGGAAAAAAAATCTATTAAAAGTTACTGTGAAATAAAATATCTTGTAGCCAATCTACCATGATATAGTCAGAACTGGTCTAAAAGAGTTTATATTTGATCCTATAAGTAAAAGGGAGACATTGGAGTTTACTGAATTGAAGAAAGGGAGGTGACTGGGTCAGATTCATACTTTAGGAAAATCACTTAGCAGCTTAGTGGCGGACCGACTGATCTGGGGAGAGATTTGAGGCAGGGAGTCCAAATGGAAGGCTACTGAAATAGTTTAGCTGAGAACGAGGCCTGAACTAGGGTGATAGCTGTGTGAGTGGAAAGAATGGGATGCATGTAAAGGATGTGGACAAAGAAATTACATGATTTTTGGTAACTGACAGGATAGGTATGGTGAGCGAAGAACTGGGGATGGTAACAAAGTTGTGAACCTGAGTGACTAAATGGATGGCAATGCCTATGAATGAAATAGGGATGTTTGATAGAAAAATGTGGTTTGCGGTATTAAGTTGAATTCTGGGATATCCAATTGGAAATATCTACTTATAAGCTAGTGATGAGAGACTGACGCTAAAAAAGAGACAAGGGGGCAGCTAGATGACTCAGTGGATATAGCACAGGCCCTGGAGTAAGGAGGACCTGAGTTCAAATCTGGCCTTAGACATTTGACACTTATTAGCTGTGTGACTGTGAGCAAGTCACTTAACCTCGGCTGCCTTGCAAAAAAAAAGAGGGACAGAGAAAGAGAGAGACAGAGAGAGAAACAAGGGCCAGATATATTAATGTGGAAATCATATATGTAATATATGTACTTGTATATATGTATGTACAGATATATGTGTGTATAGATATGTATAGATATGTGTATATATGTACACACATTTGTATAAATGCATATACATGTGTACAAGCACATATACATATGTACACAAATGCACACACACATATACACACACATGCATATGCATACACACATAACATGCTCATATATGCCAAACACTATGCTAAGTGCTTTACAATTATTATACATACTTATCAGGAGGTAAATATCACAAAAATCCAGAAAAGATAGTACTCAGAAGGAGAAGATGATAGTGTCAAAGGCGGGATGGAAACAAGTCAAGACTGAAGAGGACTTAGGAAAGGCCAATAGATTTGGCAATTTGCAGAGTGGTGAATGAAGAGGTTGGAGGCCAGACTACAAAGGGTTTAGAAGTAAGTGATAGGAGAGGAAGTGGAAGCACTGAGTACACATGACTTTTTTCAAGTTTAGCTGAAAAGTGAAGAAGACATATGCCAACGTCTAGTATCATAGTGAGGTCAATCTGCTGAAAGACAGTACAAGAGAGATCGAGGGTACAAATACAGGGTGGCATCAGCAAGGAGAAAGGCCACCTCTTAGTTGGAGACTGGAAGAAGGTGACAGAGAGAAAAGTCAGAAGGAAGTAAGAAAAGTAAGAAGGAAGTAAGGTAGCCAAAAATTGGAAGCCAAGGAGGAATGGCTAAACAAATTGAGATATATGAATGTTATTGTGCTCTAAGAAGTGGATTAAACAGTCAATTTCAGAGGAAACTAGGAAGACTTTTATGAACTGATACAGAGCAAAGTAAGCAGAAGGTAGAACAATTTATATAATAACTGTTACAGAGAAAAACATCTTTGAAAGACTTTAGAACTCTGATCAATACAATGATAAACCATGAATCCAAAAAAATGAAGATGAAATATGACACATCCTGACACAGAAGCGATAAGCTTAAAATGCAGAAAGAGACAGATTTTTAGACACTGCTAATACAGGAACTTGTTTTGTAGGACTATATAGATATTTATTGAGGAATTTGTTTTGGCTTTTTTATTTGCTCAGTGGAAGGGGAGGCTAGTGGAAAAGACAGATTAATGAAAAATACTTATTAATTCAAAAATAAAGGTAACTAAATACAAAAAAGAAAAAATGCACAGAACAGAAGGAAGCACAAGCAGGAAGGTTTTGAAAGCAACATATAAAATTTAGTACATACTTTTTGAAAAAGTAAGTTGCATGAAGTAGAGATTCATGATTTCATAAAAATCCCATTTTGTGTGTGCATTAAAATGCTCTTTTTTGATGTTTAACTTCAGAATAAAAGCTTTTTAATAAAATGCAGAGTAGAGCTATACCATTCATTACGGCTAATTTTTATTTTAAAACCAATACATATTAAGTCAGAATAAAATAAATACACTGCCCAGGTACAGTTAGGTACAGCCCAGTTATCAGATAATTTTAGACCTAGAAGGACTTTTAAAGATCAAAGGAGCATAGATTAGAGCTGGGAAGAAACGAAGAGATTACTGAGTCCAATGTCAATATTTTACATATGAGGAAATTGAGTGGAGGGATAGGGGGTGAATGAATAACTTGCCCAAAGTCACATAGTGGTAAAGAAGGGATTTGATCTAAATTCCTCAGACTGTTATTCCTACTTTTTCTACTATATTCAGTTAGCTATTTCCCTCCTTTAGAAAAGAATGAAATTGAAGTCTGGAGAGGTTGTTAATGAACTGGCCAAAGTCATATAGCTTATGACTAGAGCCCCAAATTTCTTGACTGCTAGTCCAATATATGTCACTTATTTTCTACTTATTTTTACATTGCTTTGTGCTGTTAAAAATAATTTGTTACTTCATGTGCTTGTCTCCCCTATGAAACTGTGAGCTTGTCAGGGATAGGGATATTCTGCCTTCTACTTTAAATCCTCCACAAACCAATACAGTTCAAATACAGAGATTACTGGACTGGCAGTCAGGAGGGATGAGCTTAAATTTCACCTTAAGGGGGAAGGGAACAAGCATTTATTAATCACTTACTAAGTGTCAGGCATGTGCTTTACAAATATCTCATTTGATTCTCATAACAACTCTGGAAGGTGGTGCATCATTATCCCCATTTTTACATTTGAGGAAATTGAGGCACACATTGCTTAAACAACTTACCCAGGTTCACAAAGCTATTAAGTATTTGAGGCCAGACTTAAAATAACGTCCTCTGACTCCAGTAGTCTCTCTACCATGGCACCTACTTGCCACTTCCTTGTGTCTTAAGATATTTCTTTGTGTGTGATCACAAGGGATCTTTCTGAGCCTTGGTTTTCTCAAACACAAAATGGAGATAATAATATTTGTACACCTACCTTGATGAGCTATGAAGAAAATGCTTTAATTGAATATGGATTTTTGTTATATGGAAGCAACACTAGAAGACTTCAAATTCAAAAAGGAGAGAGGAATTTGAAATTCCTGATATTATTAAATGGAGAAAAAAGGCCTCCTTATGCAAAAGTGAATAGAAATAAGAAAAGTTGTTTAATTATTATAAAACTACTTAGGATCATGGGACTTAGAGTTTATCCTCCATCTTAGTCACTCTCTTTCATTTTAGAGGAGGAAACTGAGGTTCACAAACTTCAGTGACCTGACCAATGTCTTTCAGATATAGGAAGTAGCACTAATTAGACTCAAAGTCTGGTCCTCTCAAATAAAATCTAATGCTGTTTCTAACCACAACATGCTTTCTCTCACTTGGCCCTAACATCTGAATCATGAAATTTCAGATTTTCAGTTAAGAATGAAGCAAGTTTTTCATTATATCATTATCAATTAGACTTGTATACCTAAGTATAAAACAGTTTTAGGCACTATACTGGCATTAAAGTAAACACAGATATTAAAATTAAAGTTCTTTTAAAAAGGTAATATATAAGAAATTACATTTTGAGATGAAATTTTGGGAAATGTTACTTTTTTTTAATCTTGATAATTTTATTTCTGGTCTAAGTTCCTTGATTTATTTATCTAAAATGACAGAAATAACCAGAAGTACCAAGTGCAAGAAAATAAGAGGAAAAATTGTAAGAGATGAAAAATAGAGAAGCATATGAAAGTTCTACAACAAATATCACAAAACTGGAGAGATAAGTGAAAATTATTTCTAACCTAAAATTTCTCCAATGCCGATGAAAATGCCAGAAAGTCCAATAAGGCTTTTTTCTTCTGTGCCAAACTGATTTACAGCACCAATACATGTTCCATACACACCAGAGAAGAATGTTAATTCCAGGCCTTTAGAGAAAAATCCTTAAATTAATGATAGCATCATAATCTCCCTTTCATCATGCATGTATTCTCTATGTCTAAAAGCATCATTAAAAAAAGACACATGCACACTCCAAAAATCTCATAATTCTCACAGCACATTAGAAGCTGCTTTAAAGGGACTGTTTTGTTATTTGCCTTTATATCTCCAGCACTTAGTACAAAGCTTGACACACAGTAGGCATTTAATGACAGACTGCTTAAGGATGGTTAAGATAAATATTATTTAAGCTAAACTATTAATCCCCAGCCAAGAAATGTTTTTTCCACTTAATCTACAATTTTGATGTGCTACAGATGTAATGAAAAACATTAGCCACAAAATGGCATCTGCATGAACCTTCAGATTAAATTATTCAAATATACAAGAATATTACCACGACTAATTTCTTAGCTTTCTTTTGGGAGTAAGCAAGGTATGTAGCTTTGCTATAGTTACCACAACCGGGTGATGAAACAGTTTTTCAACTTTCTCATGAGTAACCTTTCTTAGTAAGGAAAATGACAAAATTAGAAAAATAGTGCTACATATTTTAGTCTGGAAGTTCATCACAATGTTTTAAACTAAACACAATTTTCTTTTATATTGGTAAAAAAAAGAAATAATTTCATACTTAAACCAGTAAGAAAACAGGATTTTCTGCAAGGTTACAACATTGTAACACTGAATTTCAAAAGATCTTCTTTGTTTCTAATTTCTCTAAACACAAGTTTCTACCTTTGGGGCTCATGAAGGTAAAATAATCAGCACGTTATTATAAAATTTTTTTTAAAGGATTGTTTCCACACATTCCTCTTATGATGTTTTTTGCATATCTCATTACCCAGTGAATTATTGCATTTATCTATTTCAGAACATAAGGATCTGTATTTATTTCTGAACCTCTATCTAGTGCCACAATGTTGTCCTAGAATCAACAGATATTTACCATCTCTCTCATTAATTCCTTACCTGTATAGGCTGTTGTAACACTGAGATACAGGATTTCTTTGGTGACACACAATTTAAGAGATTTTTCTGCAAATAAGAGAGATATCACAATTATAGAAGTACAAGACTTGTATTAGCTAAACAGAAGTTCTCATAAGAAATTTCCTTAACCCGAACAAAGGACTGAGACTTTGCCAAAGACTAAGTCAGATAAATGACTTAGGAAGAAATTATGGTCATGATGTTAAGCGCCTGCCATATTAAGGAACTCATTTTTTCTTATTCTACCTTACTCAGTATGTTGGAATAATAGAACCATGCAAAGAGAAGTCTCAGATAATTTATAGACCAGGCTTAGGTCAAAAATATATTGCAAATGTATCAACCCTTAAAGTTTTTGGTCTACATACCAGCTCATTATTATGGTTATCTCTTTTAAAATGTTTTTTTTTTACATTTCTGATGTAGTCTCAAGTCTGTGGCAGAATAGAAAAAAATTTTTAAATTTGAAATGTTTAAGTACATAAGAAAGGCAATAAGGAACCTTTGTTGGGCCTTTCAGTATAGTATCCCTCATGTTCTACATGAGTGATGTGGCCTACTTTTAGTGACGGTCAACTACCAAGTTTCTAGAAATGAGGAAAGGGTATAGCTGCTAGCATGACACATAGTACATTCATCAAAATCCTATCTATAAACTCCTAGAATAAACCTGACTTATACTATATTGAATTCACTCAAGAGTGATTTGTGGGGAAAGAGCTGATGTTTAGTATTCCTAGTTCTCATAAACATGTGGACTAGAAAAATTCTTTTATGGAAAATGTTTACTTTGGGACAGAACAAGTAAAGGCATACTGCTGTATTCTGATTTTAATGAAAATTATTATAATAACCTAGATACCATTGATATGAAATTAGCAACTTTTCAGCAAAACATGGCTCAAGTTCAAAAGACTAATAAATATATTCTTTAATTACAGTTTGGTTTATAAGGAAAAATACTTCTTTGAAATCAGAATAGCAATCCCTGGCAAAGGTTTCTAATGAATATATCTTAATGGCCTTTTGAATAAATAGAGATGATTGATGAATGTTAAATCAAGTACATACACTTTCCCAGAACATAATTTCACTCACTATAATTTAATAATCTACATAAAACACATTTTTCTTTTCAAAAATAATTCTGAATATATTTTAACTTCCTGTTCAGAAATGAGAGGGTGATCTGTAGCTCCTATAGGCTGGTTGAGATCTGTGTATGTTTGGTCAAACTGATCACAAATAATGGGGTAATTAATGGGATACACTGAATATAGAGCTGTATCATTCCAGACATCTTTTACACATATCACCTTATTTGTTCCTCACAAACTTCCATAAAAGTCCTATTTTAACACCTGATAGAGAGGTGACAGGTTTTTGAAGGACTTGTCAGTGGAGTATTATATCTAACAAGTCTTAACAAGCTAGAAAGTCTTCAAGTATGGGTCCAAGTCACCAGAGGTCCAGCCTAGCTAAATTCAGAAAGGTGCACTTGGTAGTATGTACATCAGTGACATCAAATAACCTTAAAGTCTCATTTATAGATAAGAAAATAGAATGAAGGAGGTTAAGTGAATACTGCAAAGCACCAGATCTGGGACTCCTACACTTGGTGTTCTGGGTGAAAATCTACAGTTTTTGCTATGTTGTTCATCTTCTTAAAGTGCAGTTTTGGCCATTTCATCTCCCCCCGTCCCACATTCAATACATTCCAGAAGCTTCCTATCACCCCCAGGATCAAATATAAAATCCTCAGTTTGGCATTCAAAGACCTTAATAATCTGCTCCCATCCCTTCGCTTTTCCAGTCTTCTTTCATCTTATACCCTTATATACTCTGCAATCCAGTGATACTGGCCTCCTTATTGTTCCTCAAAGAAGACACTGTCTCCTGACTCTGGACATTTTCCCTGGCTCTCTCCCATGACTGTAATGTTCTCCATCCTGATTTTCTTGTACAACAAAGGATATCCTGTTTATACATAATTGTTTGCCTGTTAAGTCCTTGAGGGCAGCCTCTTTTTCCTTTCCTTTCCTGAGCACACAGCACAGTGCCTAGCACATAGTAGGCATTTAATAAATGTCTATTAACTAACTTTTTACCACACTGCACACTGACTCTCAGGAGAGCTCCTTTATAATATTATTAAGCGGCTCACTTGATATTAGCCAAAAGACCAGAAGTGATCACCACAATCAAATCATCCCCTTCATCCCACCAAACTAAGAAATACATACAATACAAAGCCCTAACACAAATGTCATAAAGGGGCAATGTTTTATGATAACAAGCTAGCAGATTTCTGAATAACATGAGTGGTAGAGTGAAAGTTGTATAGTAGTATCAAAACAAGTCAATTATGGAAGAAGGGTAAAGGGTCCTGAATATTAATTTCAGATGTACGGAATACTTACTAAATGCATCTACTGCCTTTGTCATGTTGTTCTGAACAGACCTGGTTAAATAAAAAAGATTTTCTTTTCAGTCTTCAAGGAAACAAAAGAAAATACCATCACGTCTCAATACAGCATTTAAACAATTGTAGATTCCAAGTATTAAGTTGCTTGGAAAACATTTCTGGTAGCCTTCCACGTTCCTTGTTTTAGGTTGTATCACGAAGGCCCATGATTCCATTACAGTCAAAAGCATATACTATGCTTTGTAAATTTAGTTCTTCAATCTTCCAAAAAAATACAATTCACATAAAGTTATCTTTCTGCTAATTTTCATTTGGATCTTAGTGAAATATAACCTATAACAAGGTAGTATTTTCAATTCACGAAAATAATTTATTCATGAAACCATTAATTTTCTCACTACCTTGTAAACAACATTTATTTTTAAATATGCACGATTCTCTATATGGAGAATGAAATTCTTCATTCTTTAATGAAAGGGGGGGGAATGGATCCCTTTCATCACTATACCAATAAAGCCTCCTTTAGAAAGCTCAAAAAAGAAGCACATAACTAGAACTCCAGTTTACTTGGTACGATAAAAATAAAGAGAACGTCAGAGGTCATTTAGTTCAACCTTTCATTTTACAGATGAGTTAACTATGGCCCAGAGGGGCTAAGTGACTTGCCTAAGGACACAAAGATAGTGATGGAGTTAAGATTTGACCCAGGTCCTGTTACTCCAAAGCCAGTCAATGTTCTTTTCACTATCCTATTCTGTTTCCCTTATGCTAATAAGAAAAGGTATGGTAATTTAATAAACAAGAAAGCCTCTCTTCTCAACAAGAAAACTGTAGCTGCCATGGAGGCAGGTATAATTCAATCTTTTGCTATGTTACTATCTATGGACTTTATATTTCTCAGAAGGTACTTCAGGAATCCTAGCTCCAACCAATACATCCCAGTTAAGAAAAATGGTACTCTCAATCCATAAACCACATTTCATAAATAGAAGAGGTTTGAATTATTGACATTTTTTCATGATCTTTTCGAATTAAGGATAGAGGAACACAGAAAAAGTGGTTATTCATTCATGTGACTAATAATTGATCATACCACTAAGAAGTTTAAAAAAAATCATACCTCATCTTCTACATTCAAACAATAAGAGTTAGTGAGCATACTAAGAGCTGGAACTTTAAAGGTCAGTTTGACATTCCTACAAAAAATTTTTTTACTGCTACACAAATCCAAATACTAACTAATCTGATCTTTGACTAGGACCCAACCTTAAGGTCTGATCTTTTAGTCCTAAAAACAGAAATATAACAACATTGATCTACAATCTACCATTTTTCAAATACATTCAAATTAACTGGAACTTGGTTACCAATTACCTCCTGAAACTCCATTTACCAAAGAGTCCCATGACTGAAGAATTCATAGTATGGAAGTACACTAAACTGAACTCCCCATTCTCTCCTGCCTCTTTTAAATATATCAAGAAAGCATTTCTCTCAGGGTATAGTCTAAAGTCTTTGAACTAATCTGAGTGAAAAATATTCTGTTTTTCTTTAATTATCAATTCTAAAACAACATGCTATAATGAAATCTTTTTACATCATTCTTATCAAAAGGCCCTCTCCACTTTCTAACCTACTCCCAAACTCCTCTCTGCTGATAAGCCAAGGAAAGACTTTTCTCTGAAGTGACTGGGGTAATGATCATACAATGAAAAGGACTAAGGCTTAATATTTCAGTTAAGAAAAATAAATTCACCTCTGACTAAGTGGAAAGGAAAAGCCTTAGAAAGGATGGTCAAGGAAAGATTGAACAGTTTTAGGAAAACAATTCTCTAGGATGCTACTGTTCTTAGACTATTATCTAAACTCTTGAATCGTTGCTCAATTTTTAGTGTGGAATTTTGTCTGTTTGAAAATATTATAAATTTTAATTCTAAATGCCTTGTGTTCAATTTTCAAGGATATGGGGGTAATTCTTGTCCATATTTGGACCCAGTTTCCTCTAAGCAGAAATGTTTAGAACTTAATAAATATTGGGTTTGGCAGACTTGTGCCTAAGATGCAGAGTAGAGAATCATGTTTCACAATAAGCCTGAGATTCCCTGCCCCTAGTGGTCTGGGTGAACTCATATTAGGAGGTTCAATAACTATCTCTTAAGTGAACACGGTTTTTGTAGATCTTGAGGAGGGAGAAATCTTACTGATAAACTTGTCTAATCCTTCCTTTTACATGTGCATAAACCAAGACTTAGATTTGTATAATCATGAGCAAATTACCTCTTTGAGACTGTTTCCTCAGTTATAAAATGAGAGTGGGTACTTGTACTACACATATGTATGCCTCAAAGGGCTGTGAAAAAAGTGCTTTACAAACTGTAAAATGATATAAAAATATGAATTATGATTAGTTAGTGGCAGAGCCAAGACTAGAATTCATGTCCAACGCCCTTTCTGCAACATAATATGCCATCAAAGATTTGACAAAATTCAGTACTTACTACAGTATGATAAATAGCCTATCTTTTCCCCTATTTTTTACTGGTTTATGCTAAGAGAACACTCAAAATACTAAAACAGATATCTGAAACAAATTTATATCTTTTTTCTATTTTACATAAACTCTGGATGACTTTTTCAATCTCTAACCAACAAAACTAAACAAAAATTAAATGCTTCAGCCAACTCTCTCAGATTAAAATAAGCTGCCTGGATGGTAAAGACAAATAAAAATTTTAAGTCTTTTAGTGACTGAGTTATCTGATGCACTTCGAAGTTTTATTATTTAACAAAAAATAAAAATATAACAGTTCAAATGATTTTTGATGTTGTTTCTCCCAATCTAGACTTTTAAAATCTAGAAACTACTCTTTTTTTTAGTTAGATAATAGGGTTAAGCTACTTGCCCAGGGTCACACAGCTAGTAAGTGTTATGTGTCTGCGACAGCATTTGAACTCAGGTCCTCCTGAATCCAGGGGCAGTACTCTATCCACTGCACCACCTAGCTGCCCCTTAGAAACTACTCTTAAAAAACAAAATATAAACCATTAATAAAAGCATTCAAACCAAAGGGTAGAATTTATCCAAACTCGTAGGTCTTTAATAAACCAGAAAAAAAGGCTGAACAAAAATAAGTAAATAAGATGATTTGGGATATATCTTCTTTTAGATTTATAATATGCTCTTGAGAAGGAATGGTTTGAAAAGTGCTAGTTTAAACTTCATTATTTTCAATAAACAACATAAAATAACATTCAGTGCTCATTTGAAATTTTTCTAGAAAAATTTAAACCTGTACAGTATAATCTAGAATCTACCATAGTGCCTTGCATGTAGCAGGCACTTGATAACTGAAGTTAATTCATCCAATTTGAAGGAAATCAAGCATCATCCCTCAGGTACAATTTTAGTGAGCGTCCTTAAGACAGCTACTAGAGAGTAACTATAGAGGTTAGGAAACTGACACCCAAAAAAGGTTAAAGTGACTTGTCCAAGTGGTGAAGACAAGATCAGAACTTAGGTCTTTTATATAATACTCCTTCTATTTCCATTCTATCCTCTTCTTCTTCCTTTTTTCTTAATTTCTTTTTGTCTTTCCTCAAACTATTGGAACTGTCTAGCTTTTGAGATGATAGACAGAGGTTAAGAGATTGGTGATCCCTGTGGACTACATGTATACAGACTTGGAAAAAAAAAAGATTAATTTCCAAAGTTCTTACATGTTGACTTCCAGACTCTCATTATCAGAGGACTCATCATCTCCCAATACATTATCAGGGTCTGGTTTCCTAATGAGAAAGAAAAGAACTGTTCCCACAAGGCTAATCACCGTCAGAGCAATAAAAACTGTTCTTCGGTCATTCTCTGAAGAAAAAAGGTAGCCAGTGTTAATTACATGAATAATCTTTAAATTTGTATTTTTTCCACAGAGGCTAACAACAGCTAAGACACTAGATTATTTAAATACTTGCTCAATGCATCAATAAAACCTGATGTACTTTGGATAAGAGGTAAAATGTCAATTCCACTCTTGCCTTTATGTTTCAGATATGGTACCACCCCAAAGGAATAAACGTACAAAAAGAAAATCACATTTTGTCATTACAGAGCAATGTTAAAAGAAACAAAGTACAAAGATTTTCTCCTGATTAAGTATCAAGTATTTCTTGCATAACCCTCAATCCACAACAAAACTTCACCAATGACTTTAAAAGTCTTTAGTACTATTTGAAGCATGGCAATCCACTCTATTGGAAAAACAAAATGAGTGCTAGTTTAAGGTTGTTAAAAATCTCAGAATATGAAAATAAGAGTCTAGAATCTCAAGTTTTATTATAGCAATGCCCAAAGTAACAAATGATAGCTATCAATGGGGCCTAAACAGTATATTAAAAACAAAGTAAACAATACAAACCTGATATTTGAGTTTTTCCTTGCCAAGCAAGATAAATGTAAAGATTTCCAAAAAACAAGCTGGGAGGAAAAAAAGGTGAGAGGATAAATTAAAATACTACTTAAGAATTTTAAAAAGTGAATTCAGGTATTTTTAGACAAAAAAAAAGGTACATGTATTTTTTCCCCAAGACTTTCTACTAGCCCTACAGTAATAATTAACAAAAATGACGACGCCTCCATTTCATGCTTGGAAAAATTTAATTTACAATTGAGATCTGAAATAATGTGCTGTCCCTACAAATGGAACAAAATCTCTTGTCATGCTGGTGACCTGATTCACAGCAGCCTTTCAAAGAAAAGTAAAGTCATTCTGAATCATGTGATGTACTAGAACTCTGTAACAAGATGACTTGGAAACAAGTTAAGTTCCTGAATTATAAGAATCTATGAAGAAATTATTCTTCTATTATTTTAAATATGTATTTCATTTGGCATTCTGACCTGGGAAATTAGGGATCCATTCTGTATTCATGATAGAACCATTATCTTCCCAGTCACCCAGGCTCTAAATCTAGATGGACTCAACACTCTCTCTTATTCCCTCTGTTTCCAAGTCCTATGCTCCATTCTCTCCTGTTAATACTTCCACCATCCTGGTCCAGTCTTTCAGCACACCATTATTAGACTATTGCAATAGTCTTCCTGTTGGCCTCCCCACTTAAAGTCTTTCCCCACTTCAGTCCATCTTCTACTCAGCTATGAAAGCATAAGCCTAATCTTGTCAGCTCCCTATTCAATAAACTCCAGTGGCTCCCTGTTGCTTCCAGGATCAAATGTAAAACCCTATTTGGCTTTTAAAGCCTTTCATAACCTTGCCCCTTCCTGCCATCTAGTCTTTTTATACTTTATTTCCCACTATACATTCTTTGATCCAGTGATGGCATTTTTAATGGCTTTCTCCCAGGCCTAGAATTCTGTCCTTTCTCATCTCTACCTTCTTGCTTCCCTACATACTTCAAGTTTCAAACAAAATCCTACCTTCTGCAGGAAGCCTTTTCTGGTCCTCAATCTTAAGGCCTTCCCTCTGAGTCTACCCCCAATTTATCCTGTATATATCTTGTTTGTACATAGTCGTTTACATGTGGTCTCCTGCCATTAGATTATAAGCTACTTGAAGACAGGATCTATTTTTGCTTTTCTTCGTATCCTCAGTGCTTAGTACGGTGCCTGGCACCTAGTAGGTATTTAATAAATGCCAGCTGACTCAACATAACTATTTGCATTTACAGTCATATGAATTATCAAAACAAAGGAAAAGGTCCATGAAAGTGATACCAAGATAATCTTAAACGATAACAACAGCATGACCATGTGATGCTTTTTAATTTGGTTAACATAATTTATCTTACGCTTTTATATGTTTGTATTTTCTTCTTTGTGATTGTACCTGTGAATTCCTGGAGATACAGGTTGCATATTTTAACTCATTCTGTAACAGGAGTGGGGAACCTTCGACCTCAAGGCCACAAGCGGCCTAGGTCCTTGGGTGTGGCCTTTTGACCGAGTCCAAGTTTTACAGAACAAATCCTTTTATTAAGGGGATTTGTTCTGTGAAGTTTGGATTCAGTCAAAGTGCTGCACTTAAGGACCTAGAGGGCTACATATGGCCCTGAGGCCTCAGGTTCCTCACCCTGTTCTATAATCTTGAGCATAACGCTACATATATCTGGAAACTTAACAAAATTAACTGATGTGGAAGGTCTGAGGATTAAGCACTGAATTACAAAGGAATGAGTTTGCTGAGCAGATTTGAATAATCAAAGAAAAAAGATTTCATATAAGAATTCTACCTGGACTGCAAGAGTGCCCAGAAAATTCCACTGTTTCTTCCAATTGTATTTTCATCTGAATTTACTGTAAGGCAATTTCCTTGTGCTGTCCAAAGTACTAAAAGGAAAAACAAAGTTAATCAAAAAAAGAAATTAATTCACTTAATTTTACAAACAAATGATATCATTGATAAGCCCCAGAAAAATAAAGAGCAGGAAAACAAAGCCATGCTTACCAGCAGCTGCAATCCCAATGAAAACAGATGCTGTGTAGAAGGACCATGTGAAAGGCTGGATAAAAACGGCAATGTATATGCTAAAATATAACAGGTCAATTTATTATCTTCAAATAATATTCAAAATATGCCAATAATGCCTTCCAAGAATCAATGTCAGTGAATCCTTCCTCTAAAGTTTAAGTTCTAAGACATCTCTAGTTTCTAAAAGGGAAAAATGTGATTTGCTCATTTCTGCTATAGCTACTGTCATTTTATAAAGTAGGTGTTGGATAAAATGGCTTCCTGCAAGTGGATAAGCAGAACAAAGAGAGGTTGAAAAATTTAGTCACCAAGCAGTGATCTACTTCTGGCCAATTAAAAATAATCTAAACTATCTCAATGGAAGTTCTGTTCAACTCTCTCAGGAAAGAATTCAGATACCATGAGTAAAGTTGCTATATCAAGCTATTTCCAGTAATACAAAACACGAATACAAATGTCCTTACTTTATTTTTCCTTTCTTTTATACATAACCTTTCAACAAATGAACAAGAATTATACACCATACTGAACTGTCCTTTAACAGAATAAAATTTTGTTGCTTTAAATAAGACTTTCGGGCTAAATTTTCTTCTCCAATTTTCACCTAACTCAAACTCATTGGCCTGGTTTCCTCATTGAAAGCTCACTACTCTCAAATATTTTTATGCAAAGTAATTTTTAAAATTAAAAATTAATGAACACTACAGAATTCCTGAGAAAAAGCAAAAGATTTCCCGAAGTCTTAATTACATTAATATCTAGAATGCCTCAAGAAGTATAAAATAGCCAAACTGATGAAATACTCCCTAGAATTAGAAAAAATGTTAGGTTCACATCAAGCCAGGTTAGAAAACATTTGAACTTTTAAAAGTTCTTATAAGATGCTAATGGCATTCTGATGAAATAAATGATATACTATAATGCTACTTACCTATAAAATAAACCACTAGCAAACATAGATAGTTGAGGTCCCACTATGGCTACAACCGAAGGTGTAATCAAGTTTGAAGCAGAGAACACTCCATAAATAATTGCCATGCTACATGAAAAGCAGGAAAAAACAGAAACAGGAAAAAAATTGTGAAATGCCATCTAAGAAGTTTCAAATGACTTTCTAAAAAAATCAATTTGAATATATTGTAGATTTTTCTTTCAATAAAAACGTCCTATTAACATTAAAAGATCCTTATAAAAACAAGACCACCAGCCTGTATTAATCTGTACTGGTGTGAACTGGAATTCACTAGAATGTATCCAAAATAATTACTCAAAAAGGTATTGCTTTCCAAATCTAGAATACTTAGTTATAATTTTCCTTTGTAAACATGATGTTACTTACCTTAGTATCATGCTCCCTAAAATTCCCTTCTAATAACTTAACATCTTTAAACACAAAACATGGATATTAACCCGAGTTACTCAAAAGTGAATTTTCACTTTCCACAACTACAATCTGCACACCAGTGATACTGGTCAAGCAAAATTTATGAATAACTTGCTTTGGCTACCAAGGATATTCACTAGAATGCGATTTGTGCTAAGTTAAAAAACTCAGTTTTAGGGTCTAAACTTAGTTTACAAAGCCAAAATAAGTTATCTCTTAGTTTTAAAATTGATAAATGCTATCACAAAATAATGTTTATCAAGTTAGAATTTCAGAATTAACTGGGATAAAGCACTATACATATATTATCTTATTAATCACTTAAGACAATTACATGCTTACTACTTGACATAAAATAGGCATAGGGACTGGACCTATGATTTCTTTGGTTATAGGGAACTTCCAGGTGAGGGAACTGCTACCAGTACAGGTTGGAACCTTTTCAGCAATTAAATATTCTTGCCAGAGAGTGACTTGCCCAGAGTCACACAACCAGTATTTGTCAGAGGCAAGACTTGAACCCAAATGTTCCTGGCTTAGAGGCCTAGGTCTCCTGACACCAGCCAACGTTGCTTTTCATGACTTAACATGATATAGGTCAAACCCAGGAGAAGTAAATGACAAAATATAAAAACTGAAAGAAACTGAACTGTTGGTGAGAGCTCGAACACACAAACTGTAGGGAAACTACACTGCTTTTGTTCTTTCTTCCTATAAAAAAAAGTTAACTGTATTTCTTTGTTCAAATATGACTTACTTGCAGCCTGAACAAGTCTATGCCACTCAAGTTTATCCATCTGTAAAAAAGGACTTTGGCCAAAGAACTTTGGGTCTCAGTTTCCTTAATTGTAACATAAGAGGGGTAAAAAGTCTTATTGGTTCCCTTCTAGCTTTAAAGAAATGATTTCATGACTGAAACATTTTCCCAACAGAAATTTATAAAAACACTTGGAGGCTTCTTTTGATGAAAGGTAATATTACTTTTATTTTGTTGTAGACTTATGATTTCATTGGTAACAGGAAACTCTATCAGGAATCTAGCTCTCTTTACCTGGGCAGATCAACAACAATTCTGTAACTTCCAAGCACTAGGGGCATTAAGAAGTGAAGTGACTTTCCTAGGGTCACACAACCAGTATGTGTAAGAGGCAAGATTATAGCCCAGATCTTCCTGAATCCCTGGGCCAGTGCTTTACCTGATACCCCCAGATGTCTACCACTATCATAAAAAAATGGGGAAAGTAGAGAAACGTTTAAAGTACCATGCAAATTCCCTCCCTTTTAGACCTGGGTACTAACTATATGTGTTTTTTTTTAATGACACTGATATGTAGAGAAAAATAAGACCAACCAAGGCCTTAATCAGATTTTAAAATGGAAAGGAACAAGTAGAGATGATAGTGATAATGGCCACCACCTTTGTAAAGGAATATATGAAGCACGTTGAAGTTGAGATTTTCATCACAATCACCTTGTGAAGTGAGGTACACAATGCAAGTACTCTCATACACGAGGATATGGAAACTCAGGGAGGTTAAATAATTTGCCAATGGTCATATAATTAACAAGTAGCTTCTTGATTTTAAAGTTCAGTGCTTTAAATATCATTCAATATGATTTGGACAAAGTTCAATAAAACAAACAGAACTAGTATACTATACCTGGTATATCCACTGCCATGAAAATCTGTGCTGTTTAGGCTTCTGATAACAGTTTGCTGTGTGAAAAACAAAAGGAATTACTAAATGCCTACTGCAAGCTCCCTCTGTGGAAACTATCCTTTAGATTTCTAGAAACAGCATTAGAGAATTCACAACCCTACAATGAAGGACCACAGTACTAGAAGGACTAGTTAGCACAATGGTTGACACAAATTGACTAAAACTATGGGTTGAGGGTTTCATTTCCTTGTCCTTCCAAGCACTAATAAAGCACATGCTATAATCAAAAAGTAAAATAACTACGGCAAACTCACCTACCTATCCAAGTACAAAATCAAAGGAGGAACAAGGGGCAGCAATGATTAAACCCCCACATTTAAGGAGGAATAAGCGGCGTGTCTGACACACATAAAATCAAGCCAAATAACCAACGACAGAAAAAAGAAAAGAGAAGAGGGAGCTGGGTAGTGGCAGAGTGAGGATGTAGAGGGTGTAATTTAGAATCGTTCTGATAATTCATGTGCATCAACGCTTACTGGACTCATAACAAGCAGGTAGATTTGAAGATGAAAATAGAGCACCACTCACCGCCACATTCCCACAAGTTTGAAAGGCAGTGAACATAAACATAAAGGCAACGCCTAAAATAACGATGTTGAACAGCTTTTTGGATTCTGGGGACATTTTGCCTCGGCTCTCGCTGCAGCACCGACCCCGCTCGAGATCCCTGGGGAGACAAACGGTCAGGAGTGACAGAGCCTAAACCAGAGGGGTGGGCTCTAGGGTTGGGAGTCAGTCACGAAAGGGGCGGAGGCAGCGGGGCTTGACCCCCTCCAGGGTTGGGGACGAGGGTTCCTTCCGCACATGCAGACCGGACAGCTACCCCCAGGACTCTGGTGGGTGGCGGCTGTGACTCCCCAGCCCCGGGCCGGGGAGTGCCTCTCCCGTCAGGCGGCTCTGTCAGCTGATGGGGCACGGGTAGGGGCGCGCTGGGGCCGCTGGGAAATGCAGTCCCGAGGCGACTAGGCCGGGGCGGGCACACCCACTCCTCGGCTGCGGACGTGAGGGGGCGTGGACCCGGCAGGGGCCCCGGAGGGCTGGAGCTAAAGGGGAGACTCTAGTGGGGCAGTAGGCCCATAGGACAATTGGAAGGGCTGGGGCCTCTGCCAGGGTGAGCGTGGAGCTCCTACACTGGTTTACGGTGAGGGGCGGAGCCGGGAGAGGCGGAGCCAAGGGCCACCACCACCCTTCACTACCTCCCCACCCCCGCCCTCTTCCAGGGGAAGGGGCCTCCAGCGTCCAGTGGAGGGCGGGAAAAGCGTGTGGCGGGCCCTGGAGGTCCCCTTCCCGCCAAGCTCACCCGGTCAGCGAACGACGCCCTCTGCAGGCGGGGCCTTCCCTCCTAAAGCCGGGCCCTTAGTGGGGGCGGGGAATCGAAGGGCGGCCGAGAGGAGACTGGATTACACAGATTGGCCGAGGGGCGGAGCTAATGACTCAAGAGTTTTCATTTCCGGGTAGCGCTGCCGCCATTTTGTGAGGAGGGTGATAAACGGGCGCTGGGTTGTAGCGCCCCGTTCAGTTACTTTTCAGGTGAGGGAGGAGGAAGGTCGTGCAACCATCTCGAGGGTCGTGAAACCGGACCAAGTTCTTCTAAATCCCCTTCCACCGACCGAACCGTGGGCCCCTCTGAAGAGAAAGGGTCACCGGAGCCTGTTAGTTGCGGCGAACCGTCGGGGTCGCTGCTGCCGCCTCTAGCTGAGCGCGCGCGGGCCCTCCCAGGGCGTTGATTTCTCGGCGCGCAGCCTTCGGGCCGAGCTCTCGCCGGCCATGAGTTACGGGCGTCCTCCCCCAGACGTGGAGGGGATGACCTCCCTGAAGGTGGACAACCTGACATACCGCACCTCGCCCGACACTCTGCGGCGAGTCTTTGAGAAGTACGGCCGGGTGGGTGATGTCTACATCCCCCGCGATCGCTACACCAAGGAGTCCCGTGGCTTCGCCTTCGTGCGCTTCCACGACAAGCGCGACGCCGAAGACGCTATGGACGCCATGGACGGCGCCGTGCTTGACGGCCGGGAGCTGCGGGTGCAAATGGCCCGCTATGGCCGCCCGCCGGACTCCCACCATAGCCGCCGAGGACCGCCGCCCCGCAGGTACGGGGGAGGCGGCTACGGACGCCGGAGCCGCAGGTAAAAGGGGGGCGGTAACTTTTCGGGGTTCTGGGGTGGCGGGGAGGGGAAGAGAGGTCATGGGGGGAGGGGTGGTGAATTGGATTCGGTTTTAAAGGCTCCAAGGGCTGATTTTACGCCCCATTTATCCCCTTGGAGTCGGGAGGCACGGAGGGTGAGGGGAGGGAAGGTGCCCCCTTGGGCGCGAGTGGCCACGTGGTGGCCCAAATGGCGGGGGCTGGGACTGGGGGGCACGTGGTCACATTTCCCCTTCCCCCACCGGAGTCTTTTGTTCGTAATGTCTTGGGGCAAGATTCTGGGCCGCTGGGGTTCCAGGGTGTAGCCGGGCCTGGCCTGTGAAGCCGGGCGGCCCCGAGAGAACGCCTCCCCTCCCCCTTAGACTGGGGAAATGGCGGCGCTTGGTGGGGTGAGATAATGGCGGCCTGGGCGGGAGCACGCGGGCGGGGCCGAACTTGGTATTTTCTAACCCTGCCTGTTATGCCTGTTTCTGCCTCTAGCCCGAGGCGGCGTCGCCGCAGCCGTTCTCGAAGCCGGAGTCGCTCCAGATCCCGAAGCCGATCTCGTTACAGCCGCTCCAAGTCTCGTTCTCGTACCCGATCCAGATCTCGATCTACCTCCAAGTCCAGGTCGGCCCGTAGATCCAAATCCAAGTCCTCCTCGGTCTCCAGATCGCGGTCAAGGTCCAGATCCAGGTCCAGATCCAGAAGTCCTCCACCGGTATCGAAGAGGGAATCAAAATCTAGATCTCGATCCAAGAGCCCCCCCAAGTCTCCTGAAGAGGAAGGAGCTGTTTCATCTTAGGATCATGGTAATGTCTGAGGATCCAGGGTTTATCTCCTAAACCGGGAGACACAGATTTACACAATAGCACTTAAGTGGGGTTTGGAGTAGTTCTTAAGCCAATTGACCTAAAGTAAACTCCTTATGTTAGGAGTTCTGGTTACTCAGCTATGGGAGTAATATCAAAGCCAGGGGTGTGCAGAAAAAAAATATTATGTTTATTTAGATATTAATGGCTATTTGGTTAAACTGTTAAGAGACCTATTAATGAAAAGTGATTATTTCTTGCTGTTTTTATCCAACATCTGCATTTTCCCCTTTAAAGCTGCGGTCTCCTGTTTGCTAAAAGAATATTGGCCAGTATTGCAGATATTAACTGATTTGGCTGATCCTCCAGGGACCAGTTTCTGTGGGCGTGTGTTGGAGCAGGTTTGTCTTTAAATGTTAAAGATGCACTATCCTTTAAACAATATTCAGTTCCTCAGTTGATGTACTGACTGGGAATTTGATGGATTTGGCAAGTATTTCTTAAACACCAAATTTGGGGGGGAAATAAAATTGAACACAGGGTGGGAAAGGATAGTGTGTCTTTAACTCCTCAAATTGTTTGGTCCTGTTTTTAAAAGTAAAGGGGCCTGAGTAGCTCAGATTTAAAGCTAAGTGTTAATTCTTAAGTGACATTTAAGGTTATTTCTCCCACATAAGCAAAATAACATAGTTAATTGGTATTAAACAGACTGGGTTCAAGGTAAAAATGGTTTGAATACAGCCTTTTTCATCTCTTCATTTTTGGTTCGTGGTCAAGGAAAGCCAGACTTTAAATTTATGCTGTCGCTTTTTGCAAAAACTCAAATTAGGTCTTACGCTATGTGGGTGGGTATAGAGCATTGTAACTTTCTAAAATTTCACTAAATTTTTTAGTAAGGCCATCTCCAGCATAACCAGGAACTTGGCCTGAAGTTAACCACATGCTAGGTGGTCTTTGTATGGAAAGTTGGCTGAATTTCTTTCTTTTCAAACCTAGATACGGCAGAAAGCAACATAATGGATGACTTGGGGGGAAAGACCACATTCAGTCCATTGAAGAGTCCCTGGAACAAGCAACTGGCTATTGAAAAGGTTATTTTGTAACATTTTGTCTAACTTTTTAACTTGTTTTAAGCTGCCTCAGATGGCAAACTTCATTTTATGTGCCATTTTGTTGCTGTTATTCAAATTTCTTGTAATTTAGTGAAGTGAACGACTACAGATTTCATTATTGGCTTTGGATATTTGAGGTAAATTTTCATTTTTGTTTATATAGTGCTGATTTTTGTTTGAAATTAAACAGACTCCCTTAACCTAATTTGTGGCCTCCTGAGTTTTGAGGAAACATGCAGCCATTACATGCTGAATAGCCTAATGCTATCAAGAGAAGTTAACTCAACATTGCCTTCATTCCTTTAAAAAAAGATATACAAAACCTTGGTGTAAATTTGTTTGTAAAATACTAATTACTTTCAGATACTAAATAGTATCTGACCCCAAATTTGTATAAGACTTTTCAGGTGACAAGACTTAATTTTTGAAAGGATTCTTTTATCAGACACAATTCTAATCTCTTCTCTTATGTATTTTTGTGCACTAGGCGCAGTTGTGTAGCAGTTGAGTAATGCTGGTTAGCTGTTAAGGTGGCGTGTTGCAGTGCAGAGTGCTTGGCTGTTTCCTGTTTTCTCCTGATTGCTCCTGTGTAAAGATGCCTTGTCGTGCAGAAACAAATGGCTGTCCAGTTTATTAAAATGCCTGACAACTGCACTTCCAGTCACCCGGGCCTTGCATATAAATTACGGAGCATACAGTGAGCACATCTAGCTGATGATAAACACACCTTATTTTTTTTCCCCCCCAAAAAAATGGTAAATCTGATCATCTTCATGTATGAACTTGGCATATGAAAAATGTAACATTAAGGAAAGCATTCCTTTGTAAGTACTGATAACATGGTGTATCTTTTGCTTATGATATTCTGTATTATAACCACTGTTTCTGTAGTTTACAATTAAAACATTTTTCTTGATGTTAGCTTTTCTCTAAACTCAATGTCTTGGTCTTAATTTTTTTTTTTTAGTTTGAAAGACCTATGCAACTAACCTGTGAATGTCATTATTGACTGTACTCAAGTAAAATTATTTTTTTTTAAATTTTTTTTTCAACTGAGCCTTTTTCTCCCCATTGAGTTAAAATTGGGTAGTACTGTCAAATTGGCACATACCCGAGTTCATTACTAAAACCAAGGTACCAAAGTAGTCTGTCAACAGCTCCTGCATTGGCCATTTATAGTTTTCACCTGTTACAAAGGTGAGAGTCACCAAGTACTTATCCTCTTGGGACTAAAGATCTAAGTCTTATAATTCTTAGGTAAAATTTATTATGGTGGTTGCATGCTTTGGTTTACACTAAAGCTTTATTTTATCAGAGCCAAGTGAATAAACATTAAAATGGTTAGCAATTTTTCTTTTTTCTTTTTTTCTTCCTTTTTTTTTTTAAACACAATACTCTGCAAATTTTTATTTCTGGTTCCTACTGAGAAGGGTGGGCTTGTTAGTGGCTTTACTATGCAGCAAGCACACTAAACATAATTGTGATGTTGTTCAGAAGAAGCATATAAGGACTTAAATTGCTGGAGACATAGGAACACTTCAGAGGACATTCTTTGCCAAAGAAATGATCATCATTTCAACAGTATGTCTTCCTGGAAGGGCAGATTCTGCTAGATGTTCTTTGTCGGCACCAAAAGACTCCAGAGGAATATGGATACATTGCAGCTCCCATTTGTAGAGCAAAGCTTCAAGTGAACACTCAGCACTAAAGAAAATAAAAGTTTTTCTTAACAATGCAGTTGGCTCCCCCCTTCAATCATTACTTTTTCCTTAACTATGCCAAGGTTACCTTTTAATTTGCTTAAAAAGTTCAGGAGTGCTTTTCTAAGTTTTAATTACATTTACAATATTGCAAAGCTGCTATGGTGTGCTTGTAACTAATGAACAACTCTTTGCCCTTATTAAACTCTTAAAGCAGCCAGAATGCACAGAACAAGAATAAATTATAACTAATGGTGCATGGTGTTTTCTAGATTACCTTCGAACTTGGTAAGTAGTCCACAACTGAACATGAGGGTTCCTTTGTACTAAGTAGTATACTGTAGTTAAAATATCTTCAAAGTCTGTAGGAACAATTTAGTGAATAAAGGTTTTTCTCTTATATAATATGGATTTAAGTTTACTAAATTGATACCTGAATACTTAAGATTTATCTTTGAAGGACACTTAAAAATACATTCCTAAAAGTCACTAAATGAAGCTTACCTTCTGGTTCAAAAAATACATCAGAGGCCAGAATGATATCCAAGGCAGGTAAAGCCAACAGTTCTGGAGAGATCTGACCCCAGGTGAGCCCAGTAATGTGTATGTTGGGTAAATCATTCATCTGACAGCTTTGCCGACAGTTTTCTAGACAATGAGGTAGCTCTGAGCTGTCAGACAAAATTACTTCAGCACCACATTTTGCAGCTACTATGCCAGGGAGGCTCACCCCTGCTCCAATCTGAAATGGCAAACTCAGAAAGTTATATGTAAAAATTAGGCATGTATATCTATACTAGACAAAAGTGTTGAAAAGTACTGAACTTGTGATAAGGTGAGTAAAAATTATCCTTAGGAGGTTAGTACAATCTGATAACTGTCTTCTGAGGAAGTGCACTGCCTATCTAGAAGAAAGAAAAAAGTCTTTCCAGTTTAACAACTCAAGTGGGTGAATGTCACCATGTATTTTGCAATCTAACTCACTGGACAAGAGTAGACGTGAGCTGTCTGTGGCCAGGATTTTGATGGGTCTGTAGTATAAGCCTTTACAGAGGCAGTTTCCAGACTGCCTTACAGGGTAAGGCCCACATAGTGGACTTCTCTGGGGAAATTCAGAAGATGCTATTTCTGTAGGAGCTTAACAAGAAACTACTTCACAAGTACCACAAATAAAAGGCCAAGGTCACCTGTGGTTAACCCTGGAGAACATCTATAACAATCTGAGCCTTTAAACTGTTGGTCTCCTGATAATTCCCAAATTCACAGGACAAAATACAAATTAGTCCACAACTTTCAGTGGATGGAATAGTCTCTTGCACAGTGGAGTAGCAGTGTTAAAATTCATTTTCGGTAGAAATGTCAGAATCAGTTTGAGGATGTTGAAGTGCATCTGTCTAGATCTTAAACTCCTGTATTAAGAAAACATCTTTTAAGACTTTGTTTAGGAAACGAAATGAGTCAATAGAAAACCCTATTTTAATAGAAGCCTGCTATTCAACAGCAAATGGCAAGTGCCTGATTTGTAAATGATCTGGTGTGATTCCTATATTATGCCTGGGTCTATGAACATACAAAGACAAAAATGAAAGTACTCTGCCATCAAGAAGCTTACATTCTATAACAGCTATTACATAAAGTATAGAAACATTTTTAGGGGATGTGTGAGCATGGAGAGGAATTAGGAAATTACTCATGGAGAAACTGCTGCCAATCTTTGAAAGGAAACTAAAAATTGTAAGATCTGATAAACTTTTACCTCTAATACAGTTTTGCCAATCAGATTACTTCTGTGATACCAAATGTATTGAGCCAAGACCACAGCACAAGGCCAAATATACATGCCATATTGAAAATGCAGAACCTGAAAAGGCAAAAGCATTCTCGTTGGTTATAAAGTCTCCAGGTGGTACAAAACTGGCTTAAAAAAACCCCAAAAAACAAAAAACTGCTGTATCCCAAGTGCTCTGACACTACAATCTAGTACCTTTTTGCTCCTTGAATAATACTGTCCTGCAGGAAACCAAGTCCAGCCTAGATGCAGCCCACTCTTTGCATCTGCCTCTAGGTTTCCCACCTTTGGAGTTTCTGTGTAGTTTGCTTTTGAAAGTCACTCCCAAGAGTATGGACTAGTAATGAATCACCATCAGTGTGGTGTCAGCTGGGCAACAAATATCCTGGAAAAGGTGAATTCTTGTTAAGGGAATTTCATGTCCTATTAAGGAAATAGAAATATTCAGAGGGCTCTTTTCCCAACTTCCTCTGGGCACAAACACTACATAAGTATTTTGGAGTCAGTTCAGCTTTTAATCATTCTTCAATAGTGCCATATAGTATTAGGTAGCTGAAATATACACATTAATAGCATACTTGTAGCATCTGAATATTCATTTAGACCAATGCTGAGAGGCCTTCCCTCTTTTATCCCCATTCCCTTGGTATCCTAACACTCTATGGTCAGTATTCCTCTTCTCTTCATCCTTGCAGTACTGAAAGCTATCACCAAACAAGTGAGTATTATATAGAGATGTTTCTATATACACATACATTTTAAATCCTAATAAATGCTTTGTGGATTTGAATAAAAAATTTGTAAAGACAGTGTTCCACGTCAGCCTATTTGTTCACTTGGTGGCAAAGATCTGGGCCTGGAGTCAGGAAAACCTGGGTTCAAACAAGACCGTAGATATACTAGCCCTGTAAATCACCAGCAAAGTAAGGACTTGAATCAAGCTTCTAAGTACAAATCCAATATTTTTCCCCAATATACCATCGTACCTCTGCTTAGAGAGACATCCTGGCTAAGTGCATAGTGTGCTGGTAAAAATCCTTCCTTTTAATTTGTACTATCTATGCGACTATGAGATGTTGGTTAAACTCGTGGAACTTCAAGGCTACTCATTTAGACTATATTAAAAATGAGTTGCTAACTGCTAACAAGTAATGCTTTAAGAATTAAAAAGTATTTCCCCCACAACCCTGCAAGATTAGACACTGCTAGTAGGCAGCTAGGTGGTACAGAATGTTCGACTAAATGCAGCCTCACAATAGCAAGTGACCCTGAGCAAATCATTTTTTAAGTTCAGTCTCCATCAGTTTCCTCAACCACAAAATTGGGATAATAATGGCACCTTCCTCTTGAGGTTGTGAAGATAAGATGAAATAATGGCTATAAAGTGTTTTGTAAACCTCAAAAAAGCTATGGAGATACTAAATATCTCCGTTTTATCACTCAATATTAAGCAGCAGATACTGGGCATACAGACAAGGATGAAACAGTCCATACCCCCAAAGAACTTAAATGGAGGTTAGAATAGGACTATAAATACAGGCAAGATAATTTGGGGAAGGGATTTGGCCACAGGCATTAGTTGTGTGACCTTGAGCAAGTCACCTACCCCTGTTTGCCTCAGTTTCCTCATTTGTAGAATGAGCTGGTGAAGCAAATGTGAAACCAATCCAATATCTTTGCCAAGAAAACCCCAAGTGGAATCACGAAATGTTGTACACAACCGAACAAAATTTGGGGAAGAGTAGTTTTAAAGAAGTGCATTTCAGACTGAGACTTAGCCAGTGCACTGGAAGACAGAGAGAGGGAAAATGGAATGAGGAGAAAACCAAGGCTCAGGGAGGTTTAGTGACTTGCTCAGGGTGACACAGCTAGAATTTGGTAGGCCTGCGATTCAAACTCAGTCCTTTCACTCCAAAGCTACTTTCGACTGCACCACATAGGACACTGAAACGAACTTGCTGCTGGGCCCTAAACTGCCTCACCAAAAGGCCTCCCACCAACAGAGGCTCCTCCAGGTTGCTGGGGGTCTGCCTAATTCAAGAAAGCAGTCCAGCTGGATTCCAGTTGTCCACCAGCCTAAATAAAGTAATGTCACAGGGGTGGGGAAAGTACTGCTCTTTATCTTGCCGGCCTACCCACCTGGGGAATGTGGACCTCCAGCACTGCCCTTTTCCCTCCGGGTCCTGCCTCCTCAGAGAATCGGAACCGCTGGGCCCGGACCACAGGTTCTTCCAGGAATGTAGCCTGATGAGCCATATCTGAGGCGCCCAGGGTAGAGCCAACACTCCATTAAACGTGCGCAGATAATCCTCAAGTGCTAGAAGTGGGGCAGAGACCCGAGCAACCTAGATAGGACCCTAAAATGTGAAATTCGGGAACACGTGGCTAAGGCACCCACGTGTCAGCAACTCCCCGATCCCCGAAAATGGTTATTAGATTGATCCC